GGAGCCTGTATGGGTCTGACCTAGGTCCTCTGCATATATGTTATGGCTGTGTAGCATGGTGTTCTTGTAGAACTCCTAACAGTGGGAGTGGTGGCTGTCTCTTGAGTCTTTTGTCTGCCTTTTCTCCTACTAGGTTGCCTTGTTTAGTATTGATATGAGAGTATGTGCCTAGTCATATTATAACTTGTTATGCCATGTTTGGTTGATGTCACTGGGAGGCCTGCTCTTTTCTGAAGGGAAACAGAGGAATGGATCTGGAGGTGAGCAGAGGTGGAGAGGAAAGGAGGGAGGGGAAACTGTTAACTTTCCTTTCTTGTCACAGCCATCTCTTCAGCAGTATTTAATACATCCCTTAAAATTATATGAACCCATTTCTTAGCAGCCTGGCCTCTGCTGCTTCCATCTAAACTGTTATCTCTTGAAAGTGTTGTTGTTCGAGTCCTCTTAGAAGCAGATACTGAGAGTTTATTATTTAGCACAGTTATTAGGAGGTACCCCGGGTGAAGAGGTGGGGTGAGGTAAGATAGGACATATGTAGAAGTAGAACATATATGGCACTGTGCTGTGTTGGTGGCACCTGTGTGGGGAATTAGGAAACTAAAATGACATGTCACTTTGGTTTTGACCATACGCATCATGCTGTTATGCATCTGTCTCAGCTATTGGAGTCATGTTACATAGAGAAAGGTATGATATTTGGTGAAATGGCACTTGGTAGCTGGGGGAATCCCTGAAAATAATCACTAGGTAAAAACACTACTGCCAGCTCAAGTGAGTCCCTTTCTGCAGGCAGAGATGGAGATACATCACTGTCCACAATAGGCCACCCCATTTCACTAGATTCTACACTGTGTTCATTTGATTAGCAGATCCTCCAGCATTTCTGTTTGGCCTCATTATGGAGGAAAACTTTAAGATAATAGTAGAGTAAATATTTGGTCTCCCTGTGCTAGTTAGATGGTTTTAAGTTGCAGCTGACCCTGTATCTCTTCTGTGATCATGTTAATTTCATCTTAACTTTTGGATATGACTTTTACTATTCTCACTGGCTTAACTGGTTGGCATAGTTTTCTGAGGCCATTGCTTTGGGAGATACTTATCTGTGCTTTTAAAATTGATGGAGGAAATTGATCTTCCTGAGAGAATTATTTCTGTGACACACAAGTAATAGACTCTGCCTTGGTGTAATAGCACCTCTGCCTTCTCTTGAGGATCACAGTTGATTGCTCTCCCAAAGGTGATCATTTTTATTTCCTTTTATTCTCTGAATACAAGCAGCCAGGGTTATCAAGCAGCACTTGAAGCCAGAGCTTAATGTGGTTCTATTTCTTTTCTTCAGAATGTTAGAGTATATGTGTTTGTGAAAGGATATGCTACATGTGTGCAGGTGTCTGTTGAGGGCATAAGATTCCTTGGAACTGGAGTTAGAGGTAGTGAGATCCAGGTCCTATGGAAGAACAGTGAACACTGTTAACTGCTGAGCCATCACCCCAGCCCCTTTACTGTACTACTTGCTTCCTTTGTGTTTATGCAAAAGTATTCCCCCTTTGATAGCAAGATCTCTTTAACTGCATACATGAGACATGAACAGATAAGGAGATAGGGTAGGCAGGGCAGTTTGTTCTTCTTGTTCTTAATCTGTAGTCTGGTTGCTGACCTACCTTTCTGTAATCTGTCTGTCCCTGTTGCCTTGTGTTTGTTATGCCCCTGAATCTGTGCCTGTCCCTACAAAGGGCATTGTTCTATATTTATTGAACAGCACAGAAACCATGGCATGTGATTGGAATCAGCGATACCTTACAGAAGTCTTTAACAGCGTTTTACAAGAGAAGTTACTATACTGGCTCCAGCTGACTCTTGAACAACAAACAGTAATGCAAACAGACATCATCTAGCTATATCCAGATTGCTTCCAACATTTATGGTACATATTGGATGCTTCCAGCCTCTTGGCTGCTTTTAGCAAATGATTACTACAACACACATACACAAATAACATTACATTGATTCAGGTTAAAAGACATCATAATTTGATTAAAATTATGTTTAGCTTAGATTGTAAAAGTTGATTGCCTAAAAATCCAAGGCATGGTAACATTGGTACATTGTTCTCTTAAAGGCAGATTAAATTTAGATTTTTGTTTGTTTGTTGCTGTGGGTTTTTTATTATTGTTGTGGTTTTGGGTTTTTGGGTTTTTTTGGGGGTTGGGTGTTGAGACAGGGTTTCTCTGTGTAGTCCTGGCTGTCCTAGAACTCACTTTGTAGACCAGGCCTGCCTCAAACTCACAGAGATCCACCTCTGCCTCCTGAGTGCTGGGATTAAAGGTGTGCACCACCACCATCCAGCAAGGCACGTTAAGTTTAAATAGGCTGAATACAATCTTAAATGATTTCAAGGCTCATTATTAACTTTGCTGTTGCATTTGCCAAAAGTTAAGATTTTTTTAATTAGAGATATTTTCAAAAAAAATGTATCTTGACTACTGTCAGTGTTGTCCATATGTTTATGTGTGGTTTCTCATTAGGTGTGTATATGTTTTTAATTGTTGTATCTTCTTGCTAATTGAAACATTTATAGTATTTTGTTACCTGTTTTCAAATTTCAAGTCCTCCTTTTTTGGTTAGTACTATATTTATGTGGAGTATTATTTCTTGTCCTTTCACTTTGAGCCTCTTGCTGCTAATGAAATGGACTAATGTAGTTTGCTGTTTGCTCTCTTTATACCTTACATTTCTGGCCTGTTTTCTCAGTTCAGTTACTAACTACACAACAAACTAGTTAGTGTGTTAATTTATTTTTGTGTGTATTCTGTAGAATTGTGTTTGTTGTTACCATTAGGCTTGTGTTTGAGTTATTAAACTCTAGCTTGAATTTATATTAGTTTAAATTCAATAAATTAATAACTGCTTTATTTGCATATGACTTATTGTTGATATTACAAAATTACCTTTATTGTTGTATGCCCTAAATACAAGCTTATGACTTTTAAATAAATATTAATACTTAAATCATATATAAAACAAGATGTCAAGTTTTGCCAGGGTTATTATTGTTTAAGACTACCTGTTTACTTATCTTTTGCGACTCTGTTTCTTGGGATTGGTGACTGCATTGGCCCAGGAAGGTGGAGGGAGTAGAAGTGGGGAAGGGCTTGGATGGCTTGGATGGCTTGATAAGATGGAGACAGTTCTCCAGGAGACAGACTTAAGTGAATCAGTTCAACATTATTCCAGAATATAGGGAATATATAGTATTGAGGAACCTGGGGAGAAACCCTAATTTGCATTAAGTGACACTCTTATCACAAGGCTTTGTGTGTGGCAATAGGGTCCTATAGCAGAGCTCCTAGCACAAGTCTTCTAGCAGGAATCTGTGCCAAGGGTCAAGCTAAAGATAAATCAGGCATTTGACTAAGACAGCTTTCAGATAAGGTCAGTCCTCTCCACCCAGAGACAGTCTCCAGATGAGGGCAGGTAGAAAGTAGGGGAAGGAGGGAGTCTCCATTTCACTGAGCTTTTGGAAAAAGCTCCAGACTCCGATAGCCTGGCCATGATAGACTGCATGCAGCCTCTGATCAGACAACAAGGCCTTCCAACAATTTTTATTGGAATTTTTATTTCATATTTTGTAGGTTATTGTATAGTACCTATTTATTTCACCTTATATCCTGGGTAACAGACTCAGCTTTAATTCATTCATTCATTGATTTTAATCTAGGAACATTTTAATTTCTTCCTTGCTTTTGGATGCTTGTATTACTGGGTATAGAATTCTTTGACAATTCTTTTGTTTAGCACTTTGAACTTATTAGGTATCTGGCTTCCAGTGTGGTAACAAACCCTGCTAATAATCTTAGGCGATCCTCTGTATGTGACCTCATTCTTTCATGTTGTTTTCACAAGTCTTTACCCTTTAAAAGTTTGAAAGTGCATCATTTTGCCCAACATATTTATTTGCTATTTTTGATTGGACCTTCTTTAATAACTTAATATAATGTTTTATCTGAGAAAGTTTAATATAATTGTTATCAGATAGTGTATACATGTTTCCTTATTTCATTGAATGTTATTTTATGTGATTTTAGTAGGACATATCTTTGCAGTTAAGTTTACCCACTTTTTAAGTGCAGTTTTATTGAATATTTATGTAGGTTTCAGCATTACACACAATGCACGGTTACTCCAGAATTTTTTTGTTCATATATGCATTTCCTTGCAATTTTATTTTATCTTTACTTTGCATTTTGAGGCAGGCTTGCTATGCAACCAAGAATTTGTTAGGATTTTGCCTTAGTCTCTAGGTAGTGGGAAATAAAATTACAGGTTAGAGCTGAGCATTTTTAACACTGTTGATGTTGCTGAAAGGTTGCCAGCATTCTTCCTAAAAGGTTCTGCCTGTTGACAGCCATGCAGATTGCAGCTCACTGCACTCTATTTAAAATATAGTTCTCTCATCTGAGGTTAAAGAATAGTAATGTGCCAGGTGTCATGTGGCACAGGCCTTTAATCTCAGCAGCACTGGCAAGGCAGAGACAGGAGGATCTTGTGAGTTTAAGGTCATCCTGATCTTCACAGGAAGTTTCAGACCAGCCAGGGCTACATAGTGAGACCCTATTTGACCTCATTCCTGTTCCTTCCCGCTCCCCTCCCACCAAGAAGAAAAACTTGACTTTGTTTGATTGCTAGTAAAGCTATACATTTCATGTGTTTTGTTTTGGGCTTTTTATTTTGTTTGTTTGAATAACTTGCTTTTTTACATCCTCTCTGCATTTTCTATTTGATTGTTCCAATTGGTCAGAAATAATGTCCTAATGATTTAGTATACTACTTTTCTTTTTAAAAAAAAAAAAAAAAAAGCTTTATTTATTGAAGAATGTTAAATAACAACGCAACCCTTTTTTAATAATAGAAGACATTAATTTTCAAGTTATCATATAGTAAAACCTGTTTTAGACTTTGTTCTGTAGAATCTTGTTAAAACATGTTTATCCTGTGACCAGGAGCCTTTTGTGGCTGATGAATACATCGAGCGTCTTGTGTGGAGAACCCCAGGAGGTGGTTCTAGAGGTGGATCTGAAGCGTTTGACCCTAAAAGGTAAACTATAAAACAAAATTCCCATACTCCCAATGTAGTACTACAGATTGTATTTAGAGATGACAGTATTGGGATTCCTTTTAGTGTTCATATACAACTGTTTTAATTAGCAGTTTGTCCCTATCTCAAACAATTTCTCACAGCATTAGAAGTCTGAAATTGTGTTTTTCTTAATCACTTTAGCTGATTGGATTGACATTAAGAATTTAATTTTGCTGCTTGGCATTAAATTAGGAAGGTCTGGTTATACTTCTGAAATTAAAAATGGCTGGGCATGGTAGTGCACACCTGTAATCTCAGTAGAGGCTAAGGCAGAGTTTCGAGTCGGAGGTTATCCTAGAATACATAGCAAAACTCTGACTCTGGGCAAATACATAAATAATAATAAAAAGTTGACTAAGTTCTTTTAAATTTAATAGCTGTAAATCAGGAAACCAAGTCACTGAAGTTTGTAATGCATATTTTTATTGTACATTTATTTTCTTGATTTTTAAATACTAAAGCTTGTTTGGATATTTAATGAGGGTTCTTTAAGGTTTTCATTTACCATTGCAAAATCTATAACAACTGGCTATATTTCCAAATGCTGTGTATTTTTAAAGCCACATGACTTATTCAAAGTGAAAAGAAAATTATGACATTGCCAATTATTTTTTTCATTGAAAAAAATTACAAGATACTGTAAAGAAAATGAACATGTTTATCCCTATCTCAATGAACCCTGTTAAGACCTTCCTAAAGTAATCTGGTCAGTTTCTTTTGGTTTATAATAGGCAAGTTGATTGTTTTATTACTTTCCTCTATTAGGTTATTAGAAGAATTTGTGAATCATATTCAAGAACTCCAGATAATGGATGAAAGGATTCAAAGGAAAGTGGAGAAATTAGAACAACAGTGTCAGAAAGAAGCTAAGGAATTTGCTAAGAAGGTACAGGAGCTTCAGAAAAGCAATCAGGTATACATTCAGCTAAGGAATGAATAGTTTATATAGACTATAACATATTTTCACTTTTCTCAGTTTATAATATCTTCATTCCTTTTCAGCTTAGGTATTTGAAGAGTCAAGTTAAATAACAGCAAGTTCTAACTCTCTGGTCCAGAGGAATAAAATAATGTGTTTTTGTTTTGTTTTTGCCTACTATTGTCATAGGTGTTATACTTGGTTTGGAATCACAGCATTCTCCTTTTCAGGATAGGGTTGTAAATGCTGGAGTATGACCTTTGCTTCACCTCTTAATTGAGCAAGCTTTCACAAGACTCACTAACTAATCCATAGACCTGTACTTTGAGAAACTCTTTATTAGAATGGATATTTAAGAAATCATTTTAATTCTATCTAATCATAAATAAGACCAGATCTGGATCAAGTTATCCCCTAGAGCAGAGGTTCTCAACCTTCCTAATGTTGTGACCCTTTAATACAGTTCCTCATGTTGTAGTGACCCCTAACCATAAAATTATATTGTTGCTACTTCAAACTGTAATTTTGCTACTGTTATGAATCATAATGTAAATATCTGCTATGCAGGGTATCTAATAGGAGATGGGTCATGACCCACTGGTTGAGAACTGCTGCTGTAAAGAAACTTGATTTGAATAGTTTCATAAAAAATGTGCCTCATGAGAATTCTACTATAACTGTAGACCTCTCTTCTTCAGTTCACTTTTCAGTGAAACCAAGCTACTAGTTTAGCCCCCAGTATTACCATACTTCTTAGCTCCTATTAGGTCTTGGGATTGATTTGAATGTCTGAGTCTCTTTCCCTGGCTTGGTTTAATTTAGAATTTGTCTTTTTTAAAGTGTAATTTGAAGAGCATTATTGAACTTTGCTCACTTTCTGGAAACAAGCTCATTTCTACTAAAAGTTCATTTGTGTCCTTTTATTTAATCATATATAGCTATGGTAAAGTATTTGATTAAAGAAGTCAATAGTTTAAGTATGTTTTTGAATAATCATAGTGACAGTTTTCATATATTCCTAATATAATTTTGCTTTTATTAATAAAAACAATATTATTTTTATTGATGGAACAGACTGGAGCAGGTCTGCCACAGTTTGAATTGTAGCCCAACCATTAAGATAGTTGTATATTCTCAAGCATTTAACATCTCTGAACTTTGTCGTTTTATGTGTAAAATGAGTTATGATAACAGTAAGTAAACCATATTGATAGTAATATATAATTGATAACTGATAGAATAGTATCGGATACAAAACAAGTCTTCGATAAATGCTTCTTTTCCCCCTTTAATTTAAGATGAAAACGAGAGTATCCTACTGAGTTATCAGCAGTTATCAATTGTCCTGTTATTGGCAAATCTATTGATTACATTCAGTTTTCATGTTGGACAAGGGAAACAAAATGCAGAAAATATTATAACTTTGCTTTAGTAAAATAATTGCTATAGTCTATTCTGTTTTCAAAACTTGGAAAGAACAAATTTATCACAAATATTAGTGTCACTTGCATTTTAGTAGGAAGTATTAAGGCGGAGTCTTGATATGTAATGCAGATTGACCACTCATTCGCAGTTTCCTTCCTGTCTCAGTGTCCCATGTGCTGAAATTATAGGCATGTACCACCACTCCCTGCTTAGCATTGCTTTTTAAGTATTTTTAATGGTAATTCTTTTTAATCAATACCCTTCAACTTATAATACATTTTTCTAATCTTTTCAGTCTAGTAGCAAGAGTGTTCTGTTGTGGAGGTTCTTTTTCCAGGCTGGTCCCGCTACCCTTCAGCCCCAAATGAACACATGGATGTTATATTAATTATAAAACTGTTGGCCAGTGGCTAGGGCTTCTTATTGGCTAATTCAGTTTTAATTATTGACCCGTTTCTACTAATCTAAGTATTTCCACATGCTCTTATCTTACTGGAGAAGGATCCTGACCTGTTACTCCTTTGGCAACCTACCTGTGACTGTCCTGGTGAACTCCCTGTGCCTCCTTCTCCCAGAATTCTCCTCATCTCCTAGTCCTGCCTGTCTTCCTGTCTTATTGGCAAACACTGTTTATTATTCATCAACCAATAAGAGAAACATATGCAGAAGGACTTTCCTCATCAGTGTTCTTCAAAAGTCCAGTCCCATGGAGCTGGGGAGGTAGCTATGGGTAAAGAGCTTGCAGAATCTGAGTTCTGCAACGAGTAGGTTTTTCCGCCTGCCGCTGGTCTTGCCCCGCCGCCGCACCAGCCCCAATTAACACAAAGAGACTCTGTATTTGATATAATGCTGTTGGCCATGTACTAGTTTCTTATTGGCTAGCTCTGTCTTAAGAATTAACCCATTTCTGTTAATCTAAGTATTTCCATATGGTTTCATCTTACCGGGGAATGGGGCTGGCATCTGGTCTCCCCAGTCTCTACATGCTGATTCCTCCTTACTACTTCCTCTCTCCTCCTTGTCTCCTAGTCACGCCTGTCTTGCTTTCCTATTGGCCAACAGTGCTTTATTCATTAACCAGTATGAGAAACATATTTACATAATGACATCTCCCATCATCTCCTCTTTTCTATCTAAATGAAAAGAAGGGTTTAAACCTTGACATAGCAAAATATATAACACAACAATTATCAAGTAAGAATCACAGTTAACAATATTTAGTCCATTAACATTTAGCAACATTTAAGAAAATAGTCCATCATCTATTCTATCTTTGTGTATCTAAAGTCCTATATGTAACTTATCTTTAACCCTAACTAAGGAAAACTGTAATTATAACTATGTGTCTTCAACTCCATCAGAGACCACAGAAGGATAATATATAAACTCTAGAAATGACAGAGACAACTCACTGCCTGGTCAGTCACCCGAAGTTTTTCTGTAATCTTCCATCTTCAGCCCATAGGCCATAGTATGTCTGGCAGACTCTTCCATGAAGCAGAAACTCTGTAGCAATGTCCATCTTGAATCAGCAGTCACTTTTCTGTGGGTCCTGCATGTCCAGTTTATATAGCATAAAATTAAACAGTCCAGACAAGAGCAGTATCTTGTCCAAATGGCTAGTCTTGCCTTATTGGAAGTAAACTCCATAATGAGTTTCTTCAATGTCCATCTTCCTTTTTGACGCAGGTGGTATTGCCAGGAGCAATTGTGCCTCGTTGTCAAGAAAAACCCTAAACCATTTTAAATGCCATATTCTGTAGGTCTTTGAAAGGTTTGAAGAATCCCTATCTATCTCAAATACATCTCTGTGTATCTTGAAAAACCTAGCTAACTTAACTCTAAGCTTTGACTATCATAGATAATTATCTATAATCTGTACTACATTATGCATTACATTTCTGAATGATCTATATAAACACAATACCTAAACAAAAGGAGAAATATACACATCACAAAATTGACCTTAAATTGTATCAATAAATGAAAATCCATTCCAAAACAAAGTATTCATATCTATACCATAACCCCCTTTTTACCTTTAAAAAGAGATTTGTTGTTGTCATTAACCATTTATAACCTACCCCATTTAAATGAAAACAAACATTTATAACCAATATTTAGGAATTTGGGCGTTGTTCTTTCCAAACTACTTCCTGCTGGTAGGGAGCGCTGTCATGGGGATCCTAAGAAGACACAGATCCTGGCTGTAGTCTGCAATGCTGCCTTTTCAAGCTGTTTTGAATGTTGGATCACTTGGTACTCTTTTTCAGGGGGTCTGGCTTGATCAAATCACATTAGTCTGGAAGGAATCCACATCTTTTCATTTTCTGTGGAAACAAAAATAGAAATCCTTTTCCCCAGTAGCTTGTCCTTAGACTTAACTTTTGAAGTCAAAGCATTTTTAAAATATATAAATTGGATTGATCCAGCAGCACTTGTTTTAATAGTTGTTGTAATTTCCTCAGCAGTCAAAAGATACAAAGACAATATAGCACGTACAGTATGCAGATTTTCTCGGTACTTTTCATGTTTACGTGGCTTTTTTATTACTCTGTTTCTTTTACTTTTTAGTTTTTCATTTTTTGAGACAAGGTTTTTCTGTGTAACTTTTATCTGTCCTGGAATTTACTCTGCATACCAGGTTTACTTTGACATCACAGAGATCTGCTTGCTTCTGTGTCTCAAGTGCTAAGATTAAAGGCGTGTGCCACCACACCCAGCTCCTCGCTGTATTTTTAAAACCATTTTATTTCTTTTTTCTTCCAAGCCTATGTATATTTTAAAACACACTGTAAACCTTTAGAGGTTTTTCGTAATATGAATCTGTCTTTACTGTAAATATTTATCTTTTTCAGGCCTTGAGTCTTTTATCTGGTAAACAACAACGTTGCTAAAATGAAAGTCATAGCTGTGTTAGCTGCAGTCTTATCCAAGATGGCGGCGGCTATTTTACAGCCAGCATTGAGAGCTGTGCTTACCACCTTGGTCTATGCTGCCATCCGGCAGCATGTTGTGGGCTTGGAGATGTGGTCACTGCCATTGCCAACTCTCGTACACACCAATGAATTGTTAGCAGTGCTTTTTTAAAGCTGTGCGGTTTTTTTTGCCACTTTTGCTGTTGCTGAGTCAGGAAACCTCCCTTAAAGGAGCCTCGCAAATCTCTGTTTGTCTTTAGCAAAACAGAACCCAACCAAGAAAAATGCTGCTACCAAGAAGCCTTGCTTTTGTCTGTTTTTTGGTTTGTAAAACCCAAAAGCTTCTGTTAAGTTTTCAGTGGAAGTTCTTTATTAGCCACGTTGAGGTGCCATATGTAAGGAGTAAGGTTTTTCCTCCCTGAATAAACATCTTTTCGGCCTATTTGTTATCCTGATCCTTATTAAACCGCAACAGAGTTCCTAAAAAATTTGGTTTGGTAGCATTCATATGTAACCTCATCACAGGGATGGGGTTAAGGGATGGTGAAAACAGAGAGGAGGATTCCTTGAGTTTGCTGATTGAAATGACAGAGACAGCAAGCTCCAAATTTAGTGAGACCCTGTCTCACAAAGTAAGGTGGAGTACAGTTGAGGAAGGCACTTGGTGTTGACCTCTGACCTCTAAACTGCATTGCATAGGCAAGTGTATCTCCACACATGAATATTCTTCCTTCCCCCAAGTCTAGTCCCTTTGATACTTGTTTACACAATGATTGTTCAGGGCTCTTGGGTGCCTATGGGGTAAAGATTGGAAACTTGGTTAAGAGTTTTCAGATCATGTCATGCTAATGAGTATGAATTGTTTTGTGGACCTCATATATAAGTTATGTTACAAAGTACTAGTGCGGTTGGTATGTAAATATGTTTTTGCTTGTTGGGGGTCAACCTAGGGACTTGTTCATGATAGGCAAGTGATCCACCATTAATGCCCTGGGATGGTAGTTTTGAAAGGTATTAACTTATAAACTTAATTCTCTGATTGTATTTCCTGTGTACACATATTCCTAGGTTGCCTTCCAACATTTCCAAGAATTAGATGAGCATATTAGCTATGTAGCCACCAAAGTGTGTCACCTTGGAGACCAGTTGGAAGGGGTAAACACACCTAGACAACGTGCAGTGGAGGCTCAGAAATTGATGAAGTATTTCAATGAGTTTCTAGATGGAGAACTGAAATCTGATGTTTTTACAAATTCTGAAAAGGTAAGCATTGTCAGAATAAAAGCAATAATCAAATTTTAATTGGTTTGCCTTGTATTTTTAAAAAGATTTATTTGTATGTGTGGGGACTTCACAAACCTGTCCATGTTGCCTTGCATTATTTGTGAAATTACAATTCATTATAAATGCTGAGATAACTATTCTAAATTATTTTCTTGTCCTTTGACTTAATATTATTGAATTTATATAGTCTTTAATAGTTATATGGCATAGGGTAGTAGATCTGACCTAAACTGTTGAGGAGCTGAAATGTCTTTCTGTAAAGGAATCCACAAGTCCTAGTTTTTACTTACTCGAGTAAAGATCCCTTATAAATAATTAAAACAAATTAGACCATGGTCATTGGAAACTCAGTTGGTTATGTTATTTTTTTTGTAACAGTCACTTCATATCTAAAAATATATGGTATTGGTTGTTCTATAATTGAGAGGGCAACTTAGCTTGCTTTCCTCTTTAAAGGGGAAAAAAAATCACACTATATGAGAAAAAAAGATAGTCTCATGAATCATATGCTTGTTGCATTGTTACCCACTCATATGTTGAATACAGTTTTACTGATTTACTCCAAATTTACTGTATAGAACATCAGATTTCACGATGTCAAAAACTAAGTATTAATGAGGTTTGCTTTGTATTAAGTAACATACTTTAATGAGTAGGACTCTGTAAAGCTAAAGGATTTATAATATATAAAAGTGGTTACATGTCTGTACATAATCCCTTTTTAAAAAATAACTTTTAAAGATTGAGTTTCAAGAATAGTATAAGATACTTCTGATAAATATCAAGAAAATTGATATTAAAAATTTGTTAAATACTGGTAGTATCATTTTATATTTATGTGGTTAATATACAAGAATGTATATGAGACTTGAACTGCAAATTACATTTCAGGATAGTTATGGAATTTTAAGCTTTTTTCCCTAACTATTAATAAACATAGTATGAAAGTACCTATTTAAAACATCAAAATTCTGTTTTATAATGAATTGGATATAGTAAGACTGAATTTTTAGATTACTTGTGATTTTACCTATTAGATTGTATGCTCTAAGCAAAATGCAACTATCTTAACCAATATGTTAACCTGTTTTTGTTTTTATTTTGAAAATATTTATTCTAATCTAACATATTATGATTATGGTTTCTCCTCTCCTGGTTTCTCCCAGATCCTCCTCATTTTCCCAACTACAGTAGTTCATTCCATTTCTTTCTTACTCATGATACAAGCGGGTATCTACAATAATAATTATTATGATTATACAATAATTACTAATAAAAATTATCTGATTATATTTCCTGTGTGCACATATTCCTAGGTTGCCTTCCAACATTTCCAAGAACTAGGTGAGCATATTAGCTATGTAGCCACCAAAGTGTGTCACCTTGGAAACCAGTTGGAAGGGGTAAACATACCTAGATAACATGCAGTGGAGGCTCAGAAATGTTATTAACACCAATATTATTATGTTAGATAAAATAAAAACAAACTAGTATAAGACAAAACAAACAGAAAAAAGAAGGCACAGGAAAAACTCAAGAAATATACAGATTTAGAGATATACACATTCACACATACAGAAATGCTATAAAAACACAAAACTGGGAACCATTATATATATGTATGTACACATACACACACCCTATAAAACTAAAAAGCCCTTACAAAACTTTATAAGACAAGGTTAAAAACACAAATCAAACAAACAGAAAACCTTACAAAGTGTTATAAGGCAACCTTCAAAATGCCACAGTGTTCATCTTGTGTTGCCATCTACTGATGGACTTACAGTGTGGCCTGGACTTAAGAGTGGTTTGTATACCCAATGAGATTCAGTTAGAGAAACCTAATTTTTCATTTGTGAGTGATTATCAATGGAGATAGCTTCTGGGTTAGTGGGCTCGTGTCCACTTCCCTCTCAGCCCTGGGAACCCATCAGGCCCAGACCTGTGGACCTGTATATAGACCCTATGCATGCTGTCACAGTCTCTGTGAGTTCATGTGTATGTCAAAACTGCTCTGTCTAGAAGGTCTTGTTTTTATTTATTTTTTTTTTCTTTCCACCCCTTCTTTAGGGTTCTCTGAGCCTTGAGGGGAGAGAAAAATTAAGAGACATCCCATTTCAGACTGAGTGCTCCAAGGTCCCTCACTTTCTGCAGTGTCCAGTTGTGGGTCAGTCTATTAGTTCCCATCTAGTGTAGGAGGAAACATATCTTACGATGGCAGAGTGAGACAATGATCTATGGATATAGTAGAATGCCATTAGGAGTTGGTTTTATTGCTACATTCCTTTTGAAGCTCAGGATAAGTAGGAAGTATCTATATTTAGATTGAGTTTTTAAAACTTGATTTATACTTATTTAAATGTTTACTCTTTAAGCTTTGAATTTTTTAAATTTAAATTAATTGAAAGAAACCTTTACATTGTTAGTACCTTTCTTGGTTACTAAGTCATCGTAATTGGAGACTCAGTATTTAAGTTAGTTTCTCTCCTTTGCTTCACTTTCATTTGTATCCCCGTTTTCCTTTATCTCCTGTGCTCTGTATACTTTATTCTGCTTTTTCACTTGTTTTGTTCTATTCACTTGGTTACTGTTTACTAATTAAGAGTCTTTTTTTTTTTTTTTTTTTTTTTTGGCCTGGTACTATGACTTAGCCATATGCTAAAAATGCAAATGTGGGGACTTGAAAGTTGTCTAACAGCACATTGTTGATCTTGCAGAAGACACAGGTTCAGTTCCCAGCATTTACATGGGTGGCTGACAACCATTCATATTTCCAGTTATAGGAGCTCCAACACCCTCTTCTGACCTTTATGGACACCAAGCATGCATTTGGTACATATACATACATGTAGGCAAAAGTTATACACATAATTTTAAATAAAAAATTAAATTCATATGTGACATTAAATTGACAATTTCAAAGAAACTTTTGGCTTTCTCAGTTTCTGGACTTTTGTCATTTACTTTCCAAATGGAAAGAAATGGAAAATCACCCACATAGCTCTAAAGAGATGTGACTGTAGGAGGAATTAGAATTAGATAAAATGTCAAATACATCTTATTACTTTTTCTTCTCTCTCTTTCTCTCTCTGTCTCTCTCCCTCTCTGTCTCTCTTTCACGTGTGTGTGTGTTTGTGTGTTTGTGTGTGTAAGCCTTGGATATAATTCTGTATCACCACACTGCTTTTTATAGGATGCTAGGGATAGAACTCAGGGCTTGTATATGCTAAGCAAGCACTCTACAAACTAAGCTTAGTGCTTTTTGTGTATAAGACCTGATGACTGTTTAAAACTGTTTTAACAGTTAAAATGCAAGTAATTTATTGGGTGTTGTCTGGTACTTTTTTGTATTTATTGATGCATATTTTAAGTGATATTGTAAATAATTCTTACCAAACAATTAGAGCTGGGGATTCAGCAAAACAGCTTTTAAGAAACAAAACCATGGTACTTTGTATCAAGCAAAGTTTACAAACAGCATGCTTGCTAAAAGGAATAAGAGCAAAATCCTGGTAGAAGCAGAGCTAGCTGTTAGCTGTGGGTTTTGTTTTTGTTTTATTTATTTATTTGGTTTTCTGAAACAGAGTTTCTCTGTGTAGCCTTGGCTCTCCTGCAACTGGCTCTGTAGACCAGGCTGGTCTTGAACTCATAGAGGTCTGTCTGCCTCTGCCTCCTGAGTGCTAGAATTAAAGGCGTGCACCACCATTGCCCGGCTGTTAGCTGTGCTCTGAAGAGGATATTTATGAGTTAAAAATGATGGTCTTAGCGAGTAAGACTGAATGGCATGGCTAGTGGTGAGGTTGCATTGGCACTTACATGTATCAGGGTGAAGAGAACACATGGCAGCTGAAAATGAGTCACCTGCTGAATCAGACAAGGAGAGGTCTGAAGCAGGAATGCTACTGTTCACTGTCACATGGAATAAGCAAGAACAAGCCCTGCTACTATCCCTTGCCAAGAATCACATAAGCGTTTAGAAAAACCTGTATTAATGTTCTTAGTTCTTCCTTCATGCTTATATGTGAAATAGTATGAATCATCATGAAGCCAGTTATTAAAATTGTGTCAAAATAAAAGTACTAAATTGAGATTTAAAGAAGTAGCCCATGTATGATTTCTTTACACTGTTTCATAAATAAGCATACATGTCTATATTTAAAGAATTTTAAAAATCTTGCCTAATTTCCTTTCTTCAACTTGAAATTGAATACTTGAAAGTATATACATATTTCTTTACTATATTTCATTCAAGATACTATATTAAACTATTTTTATACATGTTATAAATTTATATGGTTAAGTTACAACCATTTTATTTTATTCATTCAGCTTAATATATGCAGCAGTATATTCTAAATCTCCTTAAGTATTGTCTATTCATAAACTTAGAGGAAATTCCACTTTACTTTTTACAGACAAGGACTTTTAATTTGCTCAGAGAGTGAAATTGAATTGCAGATTTTCTTGGGGGAACAATTGTAGTATCAAAAAACAAAACAAAAATCTCACAGTATTTTAAGCATAAAGATACATGGTTATTATGTATTGCCCTTAAGATTTTAAAGAAAATTGTTTGGGGCAGGCATTATGGCTGTGTATAGGGCAGTATTACTGTTTTTAGCTATACTATTAATTTTTGAAATCTAAGAATTCTTTTTAATTGTTGCTTTTACTTACTTCTAATAGATAAAGGAAGCAGCAGACGTCATTCAGAAGTTGCATCTGATTGCCCAGGAGTTACCTTTTGATAGGCAAGTTATATCTTAAGAGCTTACTTGTAAATATAGTTTATGGGATAAAATTGCATTTTTCCTGTATTTTCCTTGCTCATTAAGGCAGCAAGAATTTTTTGAGCACCTTATTTGTACAAGATGCAGTGTAATATAATAATATACCTTAAAAACAAAATTGATGAAGGAGATCTTTTAAATTGACAAAGTAAGATTGAGAATTTTCCTGTTTGGAACTTTTGAGAACCAGTGTTAACTTGGCTATTGAACTCTTTTTGTATTACTAGACTAGGCTTAAATTTGGGGGTTTTGGTCACTTTTGAAAAGCTGGTGAAAGCAATGTAGTTTCTTCAAAAAAATTAAGAAGTGTACAGATTGTTGTATATAATTGTATGGAATTTTAGACTACCTATAGAATCTATCTTAGAGAATTTGAGTTAAGAATGTATTTGTAATGCAAATTCCTCAGCCATCACTAACTAGAATCTACCCTACAATAAATTGTCTTCATGATCTCTCATGAGAAGTAGTTCCTTCTGGTGACTGTCTGAAAGAAATGCAGCTTTCTGCATGGTGCAGAACATGGTTTTCATTTGTTGATACTTGAACATCTTCAGGTACTGATAGAATGTGAATATATTTTGTGTACTTGAAGCTTGACTGTTATTTTCCTAACCACTTCCATATATTTATTTCACTCTCAACCCTGTACCATCATAAAGGATGAACAGTAATAGTTTTCTTAGTCACCCAAGAGTTGAACCATTACTTAAATGGATAAAATGTCTAGGTCAAGATTAGGTGGATATTAATGGTTGCCAACATTGTCTATTCTGCCTTTCATTCTGATTTTTCTACATCCACAGACTGTTACTGTTCATGTTATTTATCTTTTCTATTCCTTGTGGTAGCAGGGCGGGGCCATGTCCTGAATGCTGGGGAGTGAACCCAGGCCCTCACACATTTGACATACCTCTAGCCAAGCCTTAGTGTTGAATATATATCTTAGACAGATCTAATGCATTCACATAGATCAATATAGCCATTCTGTTGTCTGCCTTGACTTTGTTATAACATTTTTATATAGTGCTTTAAATGTGTATTTCCTTCTTTGCCTGCTTTTAAAAGTCATCTTCTTTCTTCAAATGAGCAGTTGTATAGGATCTCTCAAAATTAGTTTCCGTTGATGCTTAATACTTGAAAAGTTTTTAGTTTGTTTTGTGGTTTTCAGTTTGTAAAAATTGGTGGTTATTCTTCTAGACTTATCTCTGAGTTCTTTTATGGTCTCTTTCATTTTCCTAGTTTTGGTTTGTGGTTTTTATCATTTGTAATTGCTGTATCATCATATATGATCATTAAAAAACAAATTAAAACTTTACATTGTGGTTATTCTTCCCAGTTGCCAAGTGAACAAGTAAGGATAGTAACCTAACTTTGAGATTGGCTGGATTGTTATTGCCTCAGGTGGAACTCTTCCTTTAACAATTTAACAGTTTTGTGAATGAAAAATAACAATTTCATTTGAATTGCCTAAATTTATTTTATCACCTGACATGTTTTTTCTAGCACTTTCTTCCACAGTTTTGTTTTATTCATTTTTATAGTGACATTTTATTTTTATGATGTATTTAAGAAGAGATAGAAAAATAATACAGAAAGTTCCCATACATTACTGCACCCACTTTCCCCCATTGTATTATGTCATATGAATCCCATCATTGACTTTCTGTTTTTTCAGGTTTTCAGAAGTAAAATCCAAAATTGCAAGTAAGTACAATCTATTTATTTAGCATGTTTTTAAATAGGGAAAAAAAAACTCATTTAAAAAAAAATAGCAACAGGTGAGAAAGTGGGAATAATACCATTGATCCATCCCATCCTAGAGTTTGAGGCCTCTTCCCTCAAAATAACCATTACCAATTTCTGGGATATTCTGCTAGAGCCTTGTGTGTATTTTGATGTATATTTTAAATTAATTAGACTTTCTGTATTTAGTTAACTATGTATTTTTAGAGATTGTGTTCATTTACGTATCTCTGAATAAGGGTTTTCTATTATATTGGGAAGACATGAGCATTTCAATTCCTATTTAGCTATTTCACTCCTTATAATTTGTTTTTTGGGGGGTGTTTTGTTTTGTATTTTGAGACAGGGTCCCAGTGTATATCCCTAGCCATTCACTACGTAGACCAGGCTGGCCTTGAACTCACAGAGATCTTTATGTCTGCATCTGCCTCTTGAGTGCTGGTGAGATTAAAGGTATGCACCATCACTCCTGGCTTATGCTAGTCTTTGGGTTGTGTTTTAAGCTATACTCATGCTTCGGGGGGTGGGGAGGATCCCTTTATTTTTAGCAAGCTTTACCTGTGTACACTGTTTGGCAAACCATTTCTCGAAAGCCTAGTGTTTTGAGTCTTAGAATAAGGACATATATAGATATTTGGATTCTCTAGAAATATTTTTGATCACTATAAAAAGTTCAAGGTTCAAATAGTAATTAAGAACTGTAATAGTCTTGAGAATATGGTATTAAACCAAAGTCCACATGCTATCTTAGTATAAAATTTGATATTTAATAAACTGTTATTCTCAGAAGTCTGAGCATTGGTAAAGGCTTTCTAGTTTTCATATTTTCCCTAGCTTTAGATTAAAGATTAAGGATTTTTTTCTATATTTTACTAATAAAATTGACATCTGAAAAGTTTCCCCCCCCTCTCCTTTTTCATTTGAATATGTAGTCATCTTTTGGTTTAAGTAATAATTATAAACCGCTGTTATACTCTGAGGAGCTCAACTATTTTGCCAGTTTGTACATTTTTGTGTCTTGAAATACTCATTTGTGTACATTATATGACTTAGAGCCATTGTTTAAAATCTCATGTTTCTGTAATTCTTCCAAGAAGACAGATCCATAACCACTGTAAATTTTTTAGTATTTGTAGATTTAGATAGCTGTATGTAAGTTGTCTACTAGATTGCCATGATACAGTTGGATGATTTTCCTGGTTGTAGGTAAATACCATGATTTAGAATGCCAGCTGATTCAGGAGTTTACTAGTGCCCAAAGAAGAGGGGAGATCTCCAGGATGAGGGAAGTAGCAGCAGTTTTACTTCATTTTAAGGTAAAGATTACAATTTTAACTCATGATCAATCTTCAAGTTTTTGAAGATTTTAAATTTATGTCCTTTGTTTTCTCCTAATTGTTGTATAATTTTGATTGATGTTTGTTAAATGTTAGTTAATATTTAAGGATTTTTTCTGGTAATATTAGTGCTATTTCAAGCAATTCAAATAGTTGGGGAAAGAAAATCATGGCATCAGCCTTCTAGTATATCATTTTCAATCAAAACTATTTGTAAATAAGTAAAAAGTAAGAAAACGCGAATGTAAAGACTGGTGGAAGATGCAAACCAAAGAGTTGATGTACTGTGACTAGAAATAGGTACCTGGGGCATCTCAGGTGATGGACAAACATGTAGTTTATGGAGCTGTCTTTCTGGAATCCGAGTTGAAGAGAAAAACCTCATTGAAAATCCTATTAATTTAATCATAGAAAATAGGACAAGATTCCCATGTTAAGTTACTGGATGCTTTGCTACCACTAATAAGTCTGATAGCTGTTGATCATTCACTGGGATACAAGATATTGTTTTATTGCATATAACACTTTGGTTGAGATTGTTATAATTGGAACCAGACAGTAACAGTGTTTTTTCTTCATAGGGTTATTCCCATTGTATTGATGTTTATATAAAGCAGTGCCAAGAGGTAACTTTACAGTATACATTTGAATTTTATTTTATACTAATTTGCATTTTGAAGTTATTTATAAATAAAATACTAACAATGTAAAATATCTCTGGTATTTAGGGTGCTTACTTGAGAAATGATATATTTGAAGATGCAGCAATACTCTGTCAGCGAGTGAACAAGCAAGTTGGAGATATCTTTAGTAATCCAGAAGCAGTACTGGCTAAACTTATTCAGAATGTGTTTGAAATCAAACTACAGGTAACTTTAAACAGTAATGAATTAAATAGTTCTTAGGGTAATAGGGTAGTGTGTGTGTGTGTGTGTGTGTGTGTGTGTGTGTGTGTGTGTGTTCATGCAATGCATATGAGTGCAAATGTCCACAGAAGCCAGAGGTGTTAGATTCCCCCTGGACCTGGAGTTATAGGTTCTTGTGAGCCACCTGATGTGGGTGCTAGGAATTGAACTCAGCACCTTTGGAAGATTTTTTTTAAACTAGTTTTTTTAAGTTAGCAAATCAAGAAATGGGTTTCATTAAACCAACTCCCTATGTCCTCCTTTGTTCTTCAGCCACTTCCCTACCCTGTACCCTTTCTCCTCCAGGTGGTCCCTTTGTTTCCTCGTAGAAGCCCCTTCTGCTTTCAACCTTTTATTTCTCACCTCCCTTAAGATCTCTTCTTACCTTACCCCCTTTCTACTTTTATGTCTTACCTACAATATACTCATGTAATTTAAATTTAGGTTTGTTTAACAGGCAAGAAAGAATGTGATATTTGTGTTTTTAAGTTTGGTTTATTTATTTAACATAATGATCTTAAGAAGTTATACAATTTAATATTCCCTTAACAGAATGTTACTTTAATTTTTAGAGTTTTGTAAGAGATCAGTTAGAAGAATGTAGGAAATCGGATGCTGAGCAGTATCTCAAAAGTCTCTATGATCTGTATACCAGGTATGTGGAGACAGGGTCTTACTATACCTAGCTGGGTTGGAACTCTATAGACCAGACTGATCTCAAGTTCACAGAGGAGGTCTGCCTACCTCTTCTTCATGAATGCTAGGCTTTCAAGATATGTGTGACCATGCCTTGCTGAGGTATATTGTTAATTATTAGACAAGTACATTTCATACTTCCTCCCTCCCTCCCTCCCTCTCTCCCCCTCTCTCTCTCTCTCTCTCTCTCTCTCTCTCTCTTTCTCTCTCTCTCTCTCTCTCTGTAGAAAGTGGAAAGTATTCAGGTACTTTGTCAGCAGTGTCCCTTTTGGCATTAAATGCTTGCCTGTATAGACTGGAGTTGCACATGAACAGAATTCTTACTGTACTAACAAAAGACATTGTTTTAACTGACTTAAGAATTTTATTTGTTATTTATGAGAATATTCTATTCTGTTCTGTATATAACTTATAAGCTGCTCTCTATATCCTAACTATCCCCCCCCCCTCAGGATTTAAGAAATAAGGGCTTGATATAAATCATTAAAGTCCCATTATGAGTATCTAGGATCTGTAGTGTTGTTGCTGTGTCTAAAATATATATTAATCTTTTTCTCTCTCTTTTCCATGAAAAGAACCACCAGTCTTTCCAGCAAATTGATGGAGTTTAATTTAGGTACTGATAAACAGACTTTCTTGTCTAAGCTTATCAAATCCATTTTCATTTCCTATTTGGAGAACTACATTGAAGTGGAGATTGGATATTTGAAAAGCAGAAGTGCTATGATCCTACAGCGCTATTATGATTCAAAAAACCACCAAAAGAGATCCATTGGCACAGGAGGGTAGGTTTCTAAAAATCAAATATAATTAAAATTGAAAATGTTAAGAACATTAAGTTTGGGTAAAGTTGGTAAATACTAGCTGTCATTAAGACTTTCTGTGAACAGACCGTCATACTGTATGTGCTATTGACCAAATCCTGCTCTCAAATTACACACTGAAATGACCTAAACTAACATGATGAAAATGTAAATCAAATACTTCTCAATCAAAATAACATAAAGAGAACACTAATAATATACAGAAGTCTGTAGTTTAAGTTCTTTTCCAGAGTTAATTGTTCTGGGTTAATAACTATGAATCTCATGTCTGAGATAATTTGCTTATGAGAAGAAAATAATTTGCTGTAAAGTTGGTGTCATTTACTTGCCCAGATCATTTCTAGATGGGACCTATCAGATCCTACAAGGAGGACTAGTCTTTATGGTGCCTTGCATACTGTGGATCTACTCTTGTACAACTAGGCTGCTCTTGTTGTGGTTAGATTGTAATAATAAATAAAGATAAGATCTCAATGGCATTAGTAAAGGAGTGAAAATCTTGGACTGATGACATGGCTGAGCTGGTAAAAGTGCTTCTGGTACAAACCTTAGTAACCTAAATTCCATCCCCAGAATCCATGGTATTGAAAACTGACTTGTGATCCATGTGCGCATGCACACATACCTAATAAATTTTAAAAAGAAAAGGTCATGCTAAATCAGAATCTTTTTATTTTAAAAAGTGCACCTAAAGAATACTTCTAAGACTTCAAAAAATGGTATCATAGTAGCCTGAGCTGTTCTAGTAGCAAAGGTAGTTTAACCTAGAGATCTCTACATAATAAATGTTCCAGGTGATCCTTACTCAGTAAGAAACGCTCAGTTATACTTAATAGATCACAATTAATATAATGAAGACATGAGTATTATATTTAAATGGTTGTGCTTTAAAAAGAAGTTTTCTTTTTATGCAAGACTTCTTTTAGTTACTTGTTATTTAGAATAGCTTCTTGTGTTGCAAAATGTCTTTAGAGACTGGAGACATGGGTTAGTGGGTAAGAGCATTTGCTATTCAATCATAATAACCTGAGTTCAAATCCTTAGTGCCTATATAAAAAGCCAGATGTGGCCATTTGCACAACTGTGTTGTCAGCACTGGGTGGGTTGAGGGAGCGGACAAGAGGATCCTTAGGGTTTTGCTGATTGTTAGCCTAGCTCCAGGTACAAGAGACCCTGTTTTAAGGGTGTAGGGTGAAGAATGATCAAGGTAAGCAAATAGGTGCATGCACCCAGACACACTTGTGCACATACACACCAAAGTTCAAAACTCCAAATTTATCCTTTTTTGATGAAAGTCATTAAAACTAGTTTTGTAATTAGAATTTCAATCTTTTGGTTATTGGCTCATTTTGGGTTTTGTTTTTTCTTTTTTTTGTTGATATGCATTAAGGTTGAGAGTATTTGCAGTTAAAATCTATAGTAAACTTCTTTTCTCATTTGTCTTTATGATGTACTAGTATTCAAGATTTGAAAGAGAGGATTAGACAACGTACCAACTTACCACTGGGGCCAAGTATTGATACGCATGGGGAAACTTTCCTATCTCAAGAAGTGGTAGTTAATCTTTTACAAGAAACCAAACAAGCCTTTGAGAGATGTCATAGGGTAAGAATAATAAATTATTTTTTAAGCTATAGCTGTATATTTCAAATTTTACCTCATTTGTACAAAGATAGAAATGTACTTCCTGATTAATATCATTTTTAATTAACACAGTTTATACAAATTGCATGTACTTATAGGTATCATACGAAGTTTGGATAAAAGTGTATGTTGAGTAATACTCAAATCAAGATGAGCATATGTGTCCTCAAATATTCATCATTTCTTTGTAGTAAAAAGATTCAGAATCTATTCTAGCATTTAAAAATATAGAGTACATTGTTAATCTGCTGTCATCCTACTGGTGCAGTAGGACACCAAAATTATTTCTGTTCCCTGGCGACCAGCCTTTCCTCATCACTCTTTACCTCTTTCCATTCTCTCCTCTGCTGCTAGTGACTATATTCTAGTCTTACCCTCTATGAAATTCCCTTCTTTAGTTTTGGCCTATGAATGAAATTATGAAGTATTTGTTGTTCTGTGTTTGGTATCTCACTTAAAAGAATGTCTTCCAGTTCATTCCCCATTGTGCAGACAACAGAATTCCATGGTTTTGAGGGCTTTGTGTGTGTATATATGCCATATTTCCTCTATCCATCATTTGGTAGACACTTAAGTTGATTCTGTTTCTTGCCTTTGTGAATATTGTTGCAGTAAACATTGGGATGCAAATCCCTCTTCAACAAGCAAATTTCCTTTCCTTTCTATATATACTCAGTAGGGGACTATGAGGTCTTATACTTTTTAATTGTTTTGAGAAAACTCTACTGTTTCGCATAAAGACTTTTTATATCCCCACCAACAGTATAAAAAGGTTCTCTTTTCTCTATCTTTACCAGCTTTTGTTACTCTATCTTTTTGGCTTTGTAATTGAAGTAAAATGATAATTTGCTGAATTTTTCTTTGGTATTTCTCTGGTGATTAATAATAATGATCATGTTTTCATTGTGTTGAGTTCCTTGTTTGTTCTCCATATGGCTCTACATTTATTAGATTATATAATTGCAAGAATTTTCTCCTTATTCTGTAAGTTTTTTTCATTCTTGGCTGGGTGGAGGCTTTATAATTGAATTTAGTCTTGTCTGTTTTTACTTTTGTTTCCTTTGCTTTTGGAGTCTCATTCAAGAAGCATCTATCCATTCCAATGTCCCAAAGTATGTTTTTGTCTTGTAGTTTCATAATTTTGAAGGATTTCCTTTAAGGGTTTAATCTATTTTGAATTAATTTGTGTCTGTTGTTAATGATATGTAGGTATCCACATTTTGTCCTCACTCAACAGACTGTTTGCTTTAATCTGTGTTAAGATTTGTGACAGATCAAAAAGAAACTTTTTGTATCCAAGACTGAGATAACACTAATCTATGCATATAAATGTAACTGCTTAGGAGAGTTTGATAGCATGTCCATTTATCCAGACAGAAGCAGTAAATTCACCACTAGGGTCTGTGATTTTCTAGGCCATGGGCCTTTGACCAAGTTCACAGTACTAGGTATGAGCTCACTCATGTGGCACAAAGTGTCAAATCCTGTAGTTAGTTTTTTGTTTTTGTCTTGTTTGTTTGTTTTGTTTTAATCTTTGCTCTTTGGCACCTTTGGGGACCCGTCACCCAGCTCCCAAATAAATACACACACAGAGGCTTATTTTTACTTAGGAGTGCCTGGCCTTACCTTGGTTGATTCCTAACCAATTTTCTTAACAAATTATCCCATTTGTCTTTTGCCTCTGGGCTTTTATCTGTATTTCTGTATACATTTCTTTACTTTATTTTGTGGCTGGCCCCTGATGTCCTTCTCTCCTTTTTCTTGATTCTCAATTTCTATCCTCAGATTTATCCTCCTATTTATTGCTCTACCCTCCAGCCCCGCCTATCCTCTCTCCTGCCTTGTTATTGGCCATTTAGCTCTTTATTAGACCAATCAGGTGTTTTAGACAGGCAAAATAACAGAGTTAAACAAATGCAACATAAAAGAATGGAACACATCTTTGCATCATTGAACAAATGTTCCACAACATAAACAAATGTAACACATCTTTAACTAATATTCTATAATAAAATCCTATTAGTGCCTAGTTGATTGCTTCCAAAATAGGCATATCATTGTTGTACCAACTCAGTCATTCTTGATCTGTTTAGGTTTTCTGTTTCTTCATGATAAGGTATGTGTCCAGGAATTTATCCATTTCTTTTAGATTATCAAATTTGTTGGTATATATTTATCCATAGTGTCTATGATCCTTTGTATTTTGTATTTGTATTTTCATAGCATCCATTAAATATATACTTTTTCATCTCTGATTTACTTTGGAGAATTTTGTTTTTTTTCCTTTTTTGAGATAGTCTCACTCTGTAGCTCAGTTGACCTGAAGTTCACTTTGTCACTATGTTGGCCAAGTTGGCATTCACAGAGACCTTCTGTCCCAAGTGCTGAGATTAACAGCATGCAAGGTCACACCTAGCTCTTAGTCTATTTGTTTTATTTCTTTTTTTTTTTTTGAGATTATAATATAATTACATCACCCCCCCCCCCTCTTTCCTCATCCCTGTTTGCTCTCTTTTAAATTCATGGCCTCTTTTTTTTTTTTCATTAATTGTTGTTATATACCTTTATGTACATACATACATTCCTAAATATATGAATACAACCCTTCTCAGTCTGTATGATGTTGCTTGTACATATGCTGTCAGGGTTAACCATTTATATTGGTAATATTGGTTTGCCATTCCCTGGGGAAGACTGTTTTCCTACCATGAGCATTCCTTAGTTGCCAGTAGTCCTTTGTGTAGGACTGAACCTTCAGTAATTCCTTCCCCCTCCCCTGACCCCACACTAGCATATCTGTTGTTGTCCTTGTTCAGTTCATGTTTAGGTTATACTGTTGATAAAACTTTATGGGTGTAGCTTCTGACATTTCTAGGAGATATAATCTCATAGCAAACTTGAAATCTAAAAATCAAAAGTAATAATAACTACAGTAAATATGAAATGGCATATTTTTTAAAAATTCATATTCCTCTGGCTTTTATATTCTTTTTGCCCCCTCTTCTGTAACTATCCCTGAGCCTAAAGTGCAGGAATTGTCTTGTAGATGCATCCACTGAGACTTGTCTACTTTTGAAAACATAGTTATTAGCTGCTGTAAACTTGTTGCTAGTACTGCTTCATCCACAAGGTGTTTGTTTGCTTTATTTCCATTATCATGTATATCAAGAATTTTTTAAAATTCCCTTCTTTATCGATTCATTGGTGATTTAGGTATTTAATTTCCATATATTTGTATACTTTTCAAAGATTTTCTTGCTATTTGTTGTTTTATTTATTGAAAGATATTCAACTTTTAAGAATTTGTTCAGATTTGTTTTGTGTTTCTTGTCATCTGTAACTTCTCCATGTACAGTTGAGAAGAATACATATTCTGTGGCTTTAGTTTGGAATGTTTTGTAACTGCCTATTAGGCTCATTTGGTCTAGGGTTCAATTTTATTCTGATATTTCTATTGGGTAATCTGTATTTTGCTGATTATCCATCCATTGTTGAAAGTGAAATATAAAAGCCCCTCTAAGGCACTTATTGTATTAGAGCACATCTTTCCCTTTAAGATTTTTAATATTTCCATATGTATTTGAGTGTTCTAATATTGAGTGTGTATGCATTTTCAGTTGTTAGTTCCTTTTATTGAATTAGCTCCATTGCTATATAATGACTTTTCCTTGTCTCTTTAATTTATTTTTCAGATTTAAATGACTCCTGCTTTCTCTTTGGATTCTATCTTTGGAATATCCTTTCCTTCTCTTAGTATTTTGTTTTTCTTTTTCTTTTTTATAATTTCTTTCTCCCTGTTAGAGTTTTACTTTTTGGTTAAATGGCTTTATCTACTAATATATAGTATACTTTATTATTTTTGATGTGTCTGTTAAGGTCTATCCTTTTATCTTTATGATGATACTTTATAACAAGCTGTTTTAAACTGATAACTTTTGATTGTAAAGATGGGGCAAAAAAGAAAAAAATAATAAAAACCTTTGTAATGTACTACATTACTCTCCACATTTTGAATTTTTATACTGCCTCACTTTTAGTATAGTGTTTACTTTTTTAGATTTTATGAAAATGATATAAACAGTCTATGTACTATGTTTCTATATAGTATTAAAGCATTCTGAATTCACTTGTATTGTAAGCTCTTCTTAAAGAGTCTGTACCTTCAGTTTTCATCTTTTATTTGTTTTTCCCTTTGTAGGAGAAATGTGGTAGTGATGTATATTCTCGCTGTTTGTTTGGAAATGTCTCTTACCTCTTCATATCTAGAGACTAGCTTTGCTGGGTATAGTATTTCTTTTGGCTAGCTTTGCAGGGTGTAGTATTCCTGTTGGTAGGCTTTTGGTTGTTAGTGGGGTTTTTTTTGTTTGTTTGTTTGTTTTGCTTTGTTTTTCTTCTTTCTTCCTTCAATATGTGAATATTTCATCTTAGTCTATTCTAGCCATTAAAATTTTGCAATTCTTCAATTGAGTGGAATTTAAAAAAAAAGGACTCATACATACTACTAGAAGGCAATAAAAGAAATCACATTTTACCTGTAAAGATAGATGTACACCCTTGATCCTTTTACATACTTGTTTTTTTTTTTTTTTTTTTGTTTTTGTTTTTTTTGGTTTTTTTTTTTTTTTTCTTGTTGCTTTCAGAATCTTCTTGTCTTTTACCTTTGAATTTTGGTTATAATGAATCTTGAAGTATAAACCCTCTATTCTTGCTTTTTCATCTTTCTTGAATTCTAGTAGCCCAATATTTGCTCTTTTAATGCTTTCCTGTAGTTTTTTATAATCTTTAAATATTCTTACTCCCTTTTCCTTTCCCCTATGTATACTTTTCCCTACATGTTTAGTCTGGTTTGGGAGGTAGCTTGTTTCTGCTATTGATGCTTCTAGTACATTTTTCATTCATTTTACCATGCTTTTAGCTCCAGGATATTTTTGGTTTTATAAGTAGTCCAGCTTTCTTTGACA